TGCAAAAGACATGTGTTTCTCTTTTTTGGTTGCTGAGTAATATTCCATTGTATATATGTACCACATCTTTCTAATCCAGTCATCTACTACAAAAGATAATCTTTTACTTTTCAAAAGATGTGTCAGGTATAAAGACGGACAAATGGAGTCCCCAGGAGGAATGGCAGGCTAGCACACAGGACCGGGCCGCCTGAGAGGTAAGTAGACATTCGCTCACTTGACGATGTGCAGGAGGCAAGAGCTGAACACTGGGTCTCTTTTCTGTCTCAGCTTGTCCATGTCAAAAGACCCAAGGCCTGGCCTCAGGCGTGGTTACCAGGAAGCAAGAGAGGGATTGCACTGTTTGATGCAACCACTGTCTGCTTGTCTTTCCACACTGCCAATCACCACTGAAATGCCCCCATGGTTACTGATGTGCACCGAGGAACTTTTCTGTCAATCCTGAATGGCCTGTATCATGCCAGTCCCCAAATTCCTACTGCCCACTAGTGCGGTAGCTGTTGTAATGAGGCAGCGCTTCTGGCAGCCTACATCTGTTTATCTCATCTCCTGAAGCATCACCGTGTCTTGTGCTGGTTCTCACCTTGGCCCCCAAGCACACAGCTAGATTTGTGTTGGTCTTGCTCAGCTCCTGATGCCTCCCTTTAAATGCTCCACATGCCCTGCCGCCACTCAGTAAGTCACATGGTGTCAGTGGGGGGCTTTAGGAAGGAGTAAAGTGGGAGACTGGCCTACAGCAGATGCACTGTGGTCAAGGGAAGCATGTGTGTGTGTAAGCTGGAGCTCCAGCATGGTGACTCTGCAGACCCAACCCAAGAGTGTCCACCTATAATGATCCAGATCTTCTCCTGCTTCTAAGACTGTAATGTGGACCCAGCAGGAGATGAAGTCTGCACAATGAGAAAGGCCTCCCGGCAGACCCATGCAGACAGCGGGGAGGTTGGCATGTCCCTGCCCATCCTGACCCCTCCGCATGAGTCCGTCTTGTCTGCACCCAGATCCAGTTTTCTGCCTGTTGTGTCATACTTTCAACTCGATCTGTTCCCAACCAAAAGTCAATTACTTAGGGGCTTGCCACCAGTGAAAAAAAGCAGTCGATAAACTCATCCACACTGAGACAAGGCAGGCAGAAGACAGCCCTCATCATCTTTTTCTTGTGTTATCTTGCTCTTGCTTTTTTGAAGAATATTTATGATTACATGGGGTGGATTTCAGTGGTGCTATTTCAGATAAATCAGAAGGATGGAGGACATCATGTTGGCTATTAGGTGACAATTATATCTAAGAACTCCCAAGGAAGCTTTTTGATTGGACAGGATTCAAAGAAAAAAGATGGCCAATCTATATATTCAAGCCTCTAAATAGTCTAAAGGAGTTCATTTCATTTTAGGAGTGGGTGGATTCTCTCACAGCAAATCAGGTAATTTACCTACTATCGTAAAGGGCTATCTATATAAACAAAACCATTATTTTTAAATACTCACGTCCACTGGCATATTTGAGAGTGCCTTATACTCTGCGGGGTGGATGATGGTTATTGTGTATGTTGCCTTTTTGTTGGGCTCATCAAAGCAGGGGAAGGTCTTCCTGGCATCTGTTGGTTCATGATCAGTGGCCGCTATGCTCCTTAGAAACAAACACAAACACAAAACACATGTTGCCTCCTCTGATAGCCCAGGTATCTATGGCTTGAGGGAAACCAGTAACAATGCAGTTAGAATGGTTGTATTTCTCAAAATGAGTCTCTATCTAGAAAACTAGCACACAGTGGTCAGTCTTTTCCAGAATGTCTAGGTTAACAATTCCATGAAAGTCTAGAGGCAGAATCCAATATTTTATATCAATATTCATATATGCTGGTGCCATAATTAAAAATCCAAACTGCAAATGAGCAAAGTAAAGGCAATGAGGAGCTGTCACATGCTCCAGCCCGAAGCCCTTGTGCAACATGGAGATAAACACCAAGTCAAACGCCAGGGCTGGTTTCCAGGTGTCTTTCTGGGAGTCACCAAGCAGGAGTATCTCCATCGTTCCCAGATCCTCAGACAGTCGTTCTTATTTGTCTTACACCAGGGACCAAATCCCCAGTTTTGTTTCCACGTGAAGAGAGAGCAGTGACTAATCTTCTGGTGAAATAACCTTTGGCCAGGTTTATACTCCACTTTTGACAAGAAACAGAAGTGCTCTTTATGGCTCTAAGTAGCTGCATGTTAATGTTTAATGTGTCCATTATTTTCAAGTGGAGATTATTCAGAAGCCATGGATATATAATTTTCATATAGTTATATTACAGTAAGATAACATATAGCATTATTGCCCATTTGAGCATAAGAAGAGTAAACAGTAAAAAGCATAAAGGAACAGAAGAGTAAAGAAATACTGATATAGTGTCACTAGTAATTTGTATAAGTAAAGTATTTTGTCTTTCAGATACTTAGGGACAAAGGAAGACACATCTTCAAGAATACCAGGAAATTCCATTCTTTAAAAAAAAATCCATTGTTTGGGCCCTCCGTGATGGCGCAGCAGGTTAAAGCACAGCACTGAGAAGCTAAAGCCACTTCTGCATGAGTTCGATCCCCGCCTGCCTCAGAGGTGACCCACATGGCGCGGTAGCCTTCTTCTGACCTGCCCGCTGCTCCCCTCAGCAGTGCACTTTGTCAGTCAGCCCGTTCTACTCCCCAATCTCTCTGGTGTATCTTCTCACCACCCCTGCACCTCTGGCCTGAACCCCAGTTTTGTATGGTGTTCATTCACACCACAGATATTTATTGAATCCCATACTGATCTCCCTAACACCACACCTCTCCCCCCCCCACACACACACACCAGGCATTTTCCCAGGTGAATAACGAAGCTCAATGAATAAATAAATGAGAGTGATGATAGCTACTTGGAAAGTAAAACAGGAAGGTATGGAGTGACCCAAGGAAGTTGTGAACAACTTCAGAGAGAGTCTCTTGGCTTGGCTTGGATTATGGTTTGCTGAGATCTGAATGGTAATAAGCCAGATATGAGAAGACGGAAGGACGTGGGTTCTAGTAGAAGAAACAGGAAGTGCATGGTCTCTAAGGCAGAAAAGATCTTCATGGGGTTGAGGACTTGAATGGTGTCCACTGTGGCCAGGAAGCCAGAGGGTCAGGGAGAGGGGGAGTTTGGCAAGGTTGATGGAGCCCATGGTAACCTTAAGAGTATGTGTGCATTTTAGTTCTAGGGTGTATTAAGTGCATGAATTTGTGTAATAAGAAGTGACACAGGGGAACATCCACTCAGAAAATTACAACTTAATTTCTAAAATCTTCCTTAAGAAGAAATACCTCCCTTTTGTTTAAAATAATGTTAACTCGCTACAACACTGTGTTTATGTTAGAGGATGTGCAGAGGGATTAAATAATTGTTTCATGAAAAGAGGCAAAGGGGGAAAAATGTTTCAATGTATTTTTAAAATAGAGACCAGATAGACTTGAGAGACTGGGAGGATTGAGGCAGACGGAGACAAGGAAGCAGGCCAAAATGAGGCCAAAATGTAACAGTTAATGAAGGCGTTTCTAGGATTTCCTGAGCTGTTTATAAATTCCTTGTAACTTTCCTGCAAATTTAAAATAATTGTGAAGCAAAAAGTTACCCCTCAAAGCCTCAGCCAAAAATTTGTCAGTAATTATTGGTTAGTTTTAGTGAAAACATTTGAATTGCAAATACATCCATGCATACATTTAAAGAAACCTGTACACTCTTGGGTTAACAAGGCTTTCTACCAAGCTCCGACTCCATGTTTACTCAGAAGCCTATTTCTTCTGAATTCTTCCGGCTTCTGATTTCTTCCAGAGGCAGAGGAAATGGAAAAAATCACTCCCTGAAAGAATGTTTCAGCTTAGTCACACCTCAGAAGTAAGCCTGTTTACTAATTTGGGAATATGGGGGGGGGGTAGGTTAGGGGTGAGGGGAGAAGGGGCTGGAATTATTTCCTAAGCAGAAGCCACTGGGTAGGCTTTCAAATACTGCTTCAGTCTCTATTGTCTGCTAGAGTTTCTGCTTACAAGTGATGGAGGGAAAGAAACTGACTCGCACCAAGGAGGTGGGGGTAGAAGGGACTAACATGACCATTCACGCAGTCCTAGAAATCAAGACCCTTAGTGCCTATCACGAGGCAGAAGGCTCCAGCAGGTGTCAGACTCCGGTATCAGACTGCTGTAGGGAGTGTTGCAGGCACAGACTGGAGGGTAAAGATAGAGACTGGGCCCACTATGAAATCCCTCCTTCTAGGATTCCATAGTTATCCAAAATGAGCAGCAACAGGCCCCCTCCCCAAGAGAAAAGGACTCCATCAGGGCAGTCTCTGCCCAGCCTGGAGCGGCAGTCCTGCCCACCTGCGCCTTTGCAGACGCTTCTTCCCACCCAGTCTCCCTCCACAGGCGGTGGCCTCCTGCCTGCCGGTGACCAGCTCCTGCCGGGGCTTCTCACTGACCTCCCTCAGTGGAGGCCGCTCCCCTCAAGGCCACCCACCTGCAGCCATGCAGGCCTCTCGCAGCAAACCTGACCCTCTCGGCGCAGCTCTTCCTGCCCGCTTGTGCCTATGCAAGTGTCCTTTACTCCCCTGTCCCTTTCCCTGATAAACCTGCTCTCTAAATATAACAGTCTCTGTCTCGTGGAGAAACTCACCGTGTGCCGCTGAAAAGGGAGCTCTGGTGAAACCTCTCCCAGAGAGAACCCAAGAACCCCAACTACCTCCAAAAACATCACAAGCACCCAAAAGAGTGGCTCCAGTTTGCCCCTGGAAATGGGCCAGGGCCACTGAGCCGAAGATGCCCACGGGGCGTGTTGGGGACACTTCAGTGGTCCTCCCAACAAGAGGTTCATCAGGGCAAGTCCAAATCCGTTCCAGTAACCTGAGCCTGACTCCCTGGTGTAATAAAGTGACTCACCAGCTAGAAGGACTGCAAAAGGTATATAGTATTTGTTTCTTGAAGTGCAATATGATGGGGGGACCCTCTTCTAAAAGCAAACATTTCTAGATCCTAATCCTACTTCAGCACCTAAGTGTGATCTTGCCCAAAACACAGAACCCAAACACTCTGACCTCCCAATTGTACGGAAGTAGAAATGGGCACAGTACAGTAGTGATATATTTAAAACTCCCTTGAAAAGTACCTAATAATGCAACAGGTTAAAATGCAACCACCTGATCCCTGGCCAGGGAGTGACACATATGGCGGGCAGACCGCTCCTGTCCCTGTCTCCCCTACCCTCCTGCCTCCCGTTAGCAGTGTATTCAGTCCATCAGCCTATTCTGCTCCTCACTATGTCTCTGGTGAATCTTCTCATCCTCTGTACCTCTGGCCTGTATTGCTGTTCTGTGTGCATAAATACTTTTTTTTAAAGTACCTAATGGATTAGGCATTAGGGTATGCCTCAATTTTTTTTTTAAGATTCATTTATTTATGCATATAAGAACTGGGGGTACAGGTGGGCGGGGAGCGTGAGAGGATTCACCAGAGAGAGAGTGGGGAGCAGAACAGGTAGATCAACTGAAACACACTGCTGAGGGGAGTAGTGGGTGGGTCCGGAGAGATCTGCTGTGCCACGTAGGTAGGTCGGCTCGCAGGCCGGGGATGGAACTTGTGCTGCATGGGGCTGCGGAGAGTTCACAGTGCTGCACTCTGGCCCATTGTGCCACCAGGGAGGCCCCTAACTGCTTTTTAAAAATAGTAACTTGTTAGTTTTCTCATGGACTTTTCAATAACTCAAAAGTCCCTTCCTACATATGCTAAATCCCAGCTGAAGTAACTAGGGTTTTCTAAATACAACAGGTTTCAGAGACATGTATATGTATATGCAATAGCAGCATAATCAAGCTTTAAATCACAACTTCGGTGGGGAGATTTCCTTCAGTGGTTAAAGCTTCCTCTTTTTAAAATCAGATGAATAGTGTTGGAAATAATGGCGAAAGCCTGGCTAATAGCATAATATATCCAGGAGAGGCTCCTGGGGATGGCTGAGTAATTTTTAGGCGGGCAAAGGTGCTGAAGTGACCACTTTTCCGTAAGGCCTCGCTTCTCCGTGTTAATAAGTCGCTAGTCAGGGACATTAAACGTGTAATTCTCTGAGGCTTATTCATTTACAAAAGAAGGGATCTCTGATTTCTCAAAGGTGAAGGTGACTTTAGGGGAAGCTGGAGAGGATGGTAAGTCTTTTGTAAGTCACTATCCAGCTCATTCTGAATCAACTTAAAAAAACAAAACAGGATGGCTTGATTATCTCATAAATCACCCAGTGTGCTGCTTCCAATGGAGTCACTCAGCCACGTTCAGCAATTTAATAACTTCAGCCAGAAAGCTCTGGGTGAAAGCCTTAAACAAACTGCTGAGGAGGGGAGGCAGCTGCAGCTGTGAAGTCGGCACAGCTGAAGTAAGGGGTTCCTGAACTATTTGGGGGAGTAGGCAGTGCAAGACAACCCTATATCACTCAGATCCCAGCATATTTTTATGGTCATTTAAGTGACCAGTGAATCATTTATTTCACTATTTCCTAATTGCTTTCTGTGTAGAAGACATCCAAGGTCAAGCGAAGTTTCTCTTTGTTTTCTTGCTTCCCAAATAAAGGTAATTGCAAAGCAATGAATGGATCCC